ACTCTGTCTCTACTAAAAATACAAAAATTAGCTGGGCAGGGTGATGCATGTCTGTAATCCCAGCTACTCAGGAGGCTAAGGCAGGAGAATCTCTTGAACCCGGGAGGCAGAGGTTGCAGTGGGCCAAGATCACACCATTATACTCCAGCCTGGGCAACAAGAGCGAAACTGTCTTGAAAAAATATATATATATATTGATACATGGAAAAAATGGATGAATGTTTAAAAAGATGCTTGACTAATAAAGTTAGACCAAATGAATATATACTGTGTGATTCTCTCTGCCTGAAGTAACAGGTACTGTCAAAACTAATTTATAATGTCAAGAAGCAGATGAATGATTTCCTGGTCTGGCAAGTGGGGTTTGTTGGGAGATTGACTGCAAAAGACAGTGAGGGAGTTTCTTGAGGTGATGGAAATATTGTATATCTTGAGTGGGATGGAGGGCATATGAGTAGGTGCATTTGTCTCATCAACCTATACACAGAAAATGGTGCATATTGTATAAAAAGCATGCCTCAATCAAGGTGACATGAAAATAAAAATATTTGTGTGCTTATTATGATTTGTGCACTAAAATAATTTCACAAGATAACTCTTTCATAGAGGTTCCAAACTGGCCTCAACTTAGTGCCAGACAGAAACCTAGGTAACATTTTATAATTTAAGGAAGAGTAGGCCACTGACGCTGGGAGGAGCTGCTCTTAACAATCGCTGTGAGGTGATTCCCATTCAAGCACTGGTTAAGGGTGATGGCTGGATTTAGGATGTCCAGATTTGCATCTAGCTCACCATCTGCCAGCTGAGTGACCTTGGGAAAGTTACTTAATTTCTCTAAGCATCCATTTTCTCATGTAGAAAATCGGGATGACAATGGTCTCAATGTTACAGTGTGTACAAGGATTAAACTAGGCAGCCTATGTAAAGAGCTAAGGATACCTAATAGCTTCATATATATGAGCTCTTCTGATTTTACTTCTCATAAGAACACGGAGATACAGAGAAGAAAACACAGGCAGGAGGAGGGTATGCAGATAGGCATCTGTTTAGTCCTTGGTTTCCATTTTTCCTTCATGCCGAATGGAAGGCTCTCGTGAAAGGAATATTGTTCTCCGTTCCCAGAAGAATGGAGACTGGGGATGTTGGACTGAACCTCAGAGACTGGACTGAGGGAAAGCACAGGGCTGATGTGTACTGCATTTCCAATTTGTCCTAGTGATGATTTTGAGAAGCAGATGAATTTAATGGCAGGCAGCTGCTCTCCAACCATTTACCTTCCTGTCTTCACTGTGACAGGCAATTCTAGGTCATTCAGGCTCAGGTAAATATAAAGCCCTGTGGAAATATCATCTCATGCTCACATTTAAAATCACAAATGAAAAAATAAAATCACAAGTATCTGTGAATCATCATGCAATCTGCTTATTTCAGACTCTAGCATTATATTTAATGTCAAACTATCCAATATTTAGTATCCTTTAACACAGCCAGTAGAGAATGGTGTATGTTTGAAGGTGGTATCGCTGGTGCTAAGTTAAAGAATGTGTCTGAGGAATGGAACTTTCCCTCCATTTGTTCTATCTGCTTCTTACTCACGCATTTACAAATTTGGTTTAGATTTCTGAAGTGAAAGTAAATAAATGAATTTTAAAGTTTTTCTGTGAAAAAAAGAATAACAAGTGAAAATATTCTGGAAGACTCACTTATTCAGAAATACTTTCTCAGTAGCTCAGGTGTGTGTGTGTGTGTGTGTGTGTCTGTGTGTGTGTCTGTGTCTGTGTGTGTGCTTTGGTCATTTTAATGGAGTTTTTTGGCAGAGTTAAAAACTCTGGGATATGTGACCGGGCGCAGTGGCTCACGCCTGTAATCCTAGCACTTTGGGAGGCCGAGGTGGGTGGATCACCTGAGGTCAGGAGTTCAAGTCCAGCCTGGCCATCACGGTGAAACCCCATCTTTAAATTAAAAAAAAAAAAAAACTCTGGGATATGAAAACTATCTGATTATTTTCTTTGCTTTGAAAAATTCTGCCCTAGTCCCCTATTCTTGAAGTCTTCAAATGAATGCGTAATTACCTATAAACTATTGTACACATTAGTTTGCAAAGGAGAAAAGGCAGGGAGTCACCTTTGCTTAAATGGAATGAATGTTCATGATTGAATCATTTTTGCTGTGTGTGTTTCCTGAATCCCTTAGAAGGCTGTGTTTTTAAGACAACATGGAAAATCTGAGGGGATGTTGCAACATATCACCCAAGGGCGTGGAAATGTAAGTCTGAGTATAAAATTGAAGACATCCATCTGTAGGAACAATGAGTAACTCAATGAGTACCTTAAACCAAATGAAACAACCATGTCTTTCTTGGCATACAGTCATCTGATCTCTATCTCCCTGGTTAAGTGATGATGTAAAAAAAGAAGGCCTGAGCTAGTCCAGGTTAACCAAACATGAGAAACTGATTAATATTTTCCCACTTGTCACTTATTTAAGAATAGATTTTTCACATAAAACTATCTGGTTGGATAACCATTTCAAGTAATATGTGTAAATTTAGTTTTCTTGCTTGTGGTGTGATTGCTGAGACCTCTAAGAAATGCTAATGTTGGCCGGATGCTGTGGTTCATGCCTGTTATCCCAGCACTGTGGGAGGCTGAGGCAGGTGGATCATTTGAGGTCAGGAGTTCGAGACCAGCCTGGCCAACATGGTGAAATCCCGTCTCTACTAAAAATACAGAAAAATGAGTCAGGTGTCGTGGTGTGTGCCTGTAATCCCAGCTACTAGGGAGGCTGAGGTATGAGAATCACTTGAACCCAGGAAGCGGAAGTTGCAGTGAGCTGAGATCGCGCCACTGCACTCCAGCCTGAGTGACAGAGTGAGACTTTGTCTCCAAAAAAAAAGAAAGAAAGGGAAAAAAAAAAAGAAATGCAAATGTTATCTATCAGTAGAGAAAAACCTAAACTAAATTATAATTGAATATGTAGGGAAACCATTTATTCAACTAAGAAAATAACGCTAGCTCTAGGCTTTGGACCCTTAACAAAAACATTTTAACCCAAAATCAGGAGATTTTGCATATAATTTTAGTTCTGCTACTCACATTTATGAATAAATTCTGTCAACACTCTGAACAGTTTACTTCTCTTAAAAATAAGGAGAGGGTTGGACTTTGTCGTCTCAGACTCTATGATTCTGCCCTGTCTAAACATAGATGACGTTTTCAAGGTCTCTATGTATAGGGAGACAGGATGATGCCTTCATAACTATGCTGTGGTTTCTCAACCTTTTCATTATCTAATTATGTCATATTTAAGATCTATAAAAGATGTAAGGAATTAAACTGTAGTTGTATTGTTATATAAACTGTCAGGGAAAGATGGTGCTTTGAATACATGCATATAATTTCAATTCTTCCTGCACTCCCACTTCAGTTACACATAGAGGAATCTTTAAAGCATAAACCTACAGCAACAAGAAGACTGTAATTGCCTCTCCAACTGAGCAGTAGGAACCTACCTAGAAATCACACAAGACATTTACTTCCTAGTAGATTTTTCTTTTAACACCTAGGCTTAGTTTGTGTTTTGCTGCACATGCCAATGGAAACCCACAGCAGCAGCATTTTAGAAGCTGGCAAGCCGATGCAGTAGTGAGAACTCACTTAGTCAACCTGAGAAAGCCAAATCCAAAATGGATGCTGTGAAGATGAGAACCAACTGGATTTAAGCCATACAACCCTAAAAAGCCTCAAAATTGGTGGTGTCAGGGCTGCAGGAGTAGAAGGAAAGTGAGTTTAAAATAAACAGGACTAAGGCCGAGCACAGTGGCTCACACCTGTAATCCTAACACTTTGGGAGGCTGAGGTGGGGCGGATTGCCTGAACTCAGGCGTTTGAGACCAGCCTGGGCAACATGGTGAAACCCCACCTCTACTAAAATACAAAAAAGTATCCAGGTGTGGTGGCGAGCGCCTATAGTTCCAGCTACTAGGGAAGCTGAGGCAGGAGAATTGCTTGAGCCCAGAAGGCAGAGGTTGCAGTTGCAGTGAGCTGAGATCATGCCACTGCACTCCATTGCCTGGGTGAGACTCCGTCTCCAAAAAAAAAAAAAAAAAAAAAAAAAACTAGCAGCGGAAGATCATGCCTATAACCCCAGCACTTTGGGAGGCTGAGGCAAGCAGAACACTTGAACCCAGGAATTTGAGATCAGCCTGAGCAACAAAGTGAGACTCTGTCTCTACAAAATAAATGAATGAATAAATAAAGCCAGGCATGGTGGCATGCACCCATAGTCCCAGCCACTTGTGAAGCTGATATGGTAAGATCACTTAAGCCCAGGAGGTCCAGGCTGCAGTGAGCCATGTTTGTGCTACTGACTCTATAGCCTAGGTGACAGAGTGAGATGCTATCTCGAGTAAGTAAATAAGTAAAATAAATAAACAGGACTGACTGAGAGCAAAAGTAGATTAATAAGAAGCGTGCAGATCTCTAGGTCCCCCTGGCACTGCATACCCTAGGAGGGAGCCTCATTACCACAACTGAACTGCACATGTGTTCTTTGTAGATGTTAAACAGGAGCCTCTGAACTGGAGGAAACCAGACACAATCAATTGAGAGCATGGATACCATACATAAAATAAGGTGATTAGCTGGGTGTGGTGGCTTATGCCTGTAATCTCAACACTTTGGGAGGTTGAGGCAGGTGGCTCACCTGAGGTCAGGAGTTTGAGACCAGCCTGGCCAACATGGTGAAACCCTGTCTCTACTAAAAATACAAAAGTTAACCAGGTGTGGTAGCAGGTGCCTGTAATCCCGACTATTTGGGAGGCAGAGGCAGGAGAATTGCTTAAATCTGGGAGGCGAAGGTTGCAGTAAGTCAAGATCACACCATTGCACTCCAGCCTGGTGACAGAGCAAGACACTGTCTCAAACAGCAATGAAAAAAAGGCAATTAAATAAATGTATGTATTGATTGTTGAATCTCCTTGGCTCTCTCCTCTCACTTAGCTCACCAAATACTGGCAGCTGAAGAAAATGAGTGAATGAAGAAGGAGGAAGCAGGAGAGACAAAGAAACAGGATATACAACACAGGTGAAAGATTAAAAGGACTCCCCAGGATGATGTGAAGAGAGTTGCTAGAATGACTACTGTGCATCAAGCTTAAAATCCAGACTGGGGCGTGTGACCCAAGCAACATATATAGCATCATCTTTTTGAACTAAAAATGGTTGAGTGAACCTGGCCCAGTGCTTATCTGTACTTGGCTTTCCTGGGTCAGAGGAAGATGAAGTACCGATCTCCTCCTTCTTAGATCAGCTGAGGACACTCCTTCCCTCCATAAGGATGTTCTGCCTGGACCTGTTCCTGAGAGCTAGAGGTTGGTCAAGGTAAGAATAGAAGTAGGAAATACGAGGAAATTTCCTGCCTGATGTCCAGCACCTGGCCTACTCTATGCCCTGCCAAATGTCCCAATTGTGGTGAGCCCATTGTTTCTCAGAACTCACTCATTCTCTGGTCCACTGACTCCCCAAAAACGTTTTCGTAAATTCTCAGTCAAGATAAGGTCAGATGATGAGCCAGAATCATAGTCTTTTTCTGTAAATTCCTCTTTTCCACTTAACATTATTTTAATGAAATTTATCCATGTTTATACATTTAGCTCCAGTTCATTTATTTTCTCAACCATATAGTATTCTATTGTTTGACTACACTACAACTTAGGAATCTGCTCTTTTGTTGGTTGTACTTTTAGGTTGCTTGCTTTTTGATGTTATTAGAAGGCAATGTTTTTAGGAATACCTTTCCACCTATCTCCCTGTGGACATGTAACATTATCTCTGGTATTTACTTAGAGGGGTATTGCTGGAATATTACATTTGTTTATAAAAATGAATATTTCCAAATTTTCCTAAGTACTTTTTTACCAATTTTTACTCCCACCAGCAATGTATAAAAGCTTCTGGTCCTCTGCATCCTCAGCAATACCTGGTCTTGCCAGACTTTAACTGAAGTTTGCTAGTTAAATTTGTGTGAAATGTTTCCTCATTGTTATTTTCATTTGCATCTGAACAATGAGATTGAACTTTAAAAAAAAATGTCTATTGGCCATTCAGGTGTCCTATTATATGACTTGCCTATTCATATTTTTGGTGCACTTTTCTATTTTATTTTTCAATCTTTTCTCTAGATTTGAGAAAGTAATTTATATATTTTGATTATAACCCTTTGTTGGTTATAGTGTTGCAGATACCTTGTAGTGGTCTCTTTGATTTTTATTATAGTGTCTTAGTTTGGATAAACTTTAAAAAATTAAAATATAATAGACATAGATTGTACAATTATTATATTTTGAGATGGAGTTTCACTCTTGTTGCCCAGGCTGGAGTGCAATGGTGTGATCTTGGTTCACTGCAACCTCCACCTCCTAGGTTCAAGTGGTTCTCCTGCCTCAGCCTCCTAAACAGCTGGGATTATAGGCATACACCACCATGCCTGGCTAATTTTGTGTTTTTAGTAGAGATGGGATTTCTCCATGTTGGTCAGGCTGGTCTCAAACTCCTGACCTCAGGTGATCCACGTGCCTTGGCCTCCCAAAGTGCTGGGATTACAGGCATGAGCCACCGTGCCTGGCCGATTGTACAAATCTTAAGGGGATAGTCCTATAAATGTTTACAAATGAATCTACCTGTATAAAAATATGTGTCCTTTGATTTTTTTTTTTTTTTTTGAGATTGAGCTTTGCTATGTTGCCCAGTCTGGCCTTGAATTCCTGGGCTCAAGTGATCCTCTTGCTTCAGTCCCAAGTAGTTGGGACGACAGGTGTGCACCACCACGCCCAGCTCTTCTGATGCATTTTTAACAATGTAGTTGAATTAAAGAATCTTTCCATTTGTGGTTTGTGAGTTTGTGTTTTGTGTAAGAAAGTCTTTATCCTAATGTTCTGGTTTGTGAGTTTGTGATTTGTGTAACAAAGTCTTTATCCATAGACATGTTGTCTTACTTTTCTTCTAAACACTTTAAATAGTTTTGGTTTTATTTTATTTCAGGGATATGGAATTGGTATGTGTGTGTGTGCATGTGCACATATGTGTACAGTTTGAAATAGTGATCCAGTTTTTTTATATGGATTTTATTTAAGCGCTATTTATTGGCCATCATTACCCTCTGATCTACAAATCACCACTTACTTTTTTTTTTTTTTTTTTCTGGTCTAAAACATCTTGTTACAGCACAAATCACCACTTTCATGCATCAAGATTCCTTATGTGTATGGGTCTAATTTCTGGGCACTTCATTGTGTTCCATGGATCTCTTTGTTTAGCTTTGTGCTGTGGGGGAATATCTTTTTCTCACCTATCAAAAAGTTAACTGCCATGACACCTATAATAAAAAACAGATCAACAAGGGAAAAGCATACACATTTATTTAATATATGTTTTACAGAATTGTCTTTGGAAATGAAGTCCCCCCCACCAATCAAAGAAACCAGAGAAACCTGTGTATTTTTATGCTTAGGTTTGATGAAGAGTGGTCAGTCTTGCAGAAGTCTGACTGGACAAAAGGGGTATTATCTAATGGAAATAAACTGGGAGGAACTTAGCAATGCCTGTCCAGATTCTTCTTGGCATCTCTGTGTCCTAAAGGGTAAAGATAGTTCTTTTCTCTGGGTATAGGGGAGGATACTTCTGGAATGAAGGTTTTATGCACTGCTTCAAGGGAGAAGGGTGAGGGAAAGGTGAGAATGACCTTCCTGCTTCTGCTGTTTCCTCAAATGCCAAGGTGCCACATTTTAAGGTAGAATGTTCTGAACCCATCAGCACTAATACATTAGTCGCTGTAACTTCATCATAAAATTTGATACTGGGTAGAGCAAAAATTGCACCCTGTTTTGTGCCATAAATTCCCAGTTGCGCACAGAAGCATGAAATCATTCAAATGGTTCTATGAACTGAGGTCGATGAAGGAGAAAATGTACCAGATTTGTAGTCACAGGGTCCAGCCCAGTTCTGCGCTATCTGGTTATGTGACTTTGAATAAGTCATTCTTCTGTCTGGGCCTCAGCTTTTTCATCTTAAAACATGTAAATCTGAATGGCTCCATACGGTCCCTTCCAACTCAGAAAATCCTGACCCTATCATACCAATTTTGTCTTATTTCTAACAATCTACCCCTATTGCCCAATAAGCCAATGGTTTTTGCTCTTGAGGACTGAATTCAATTATTTTTTTTTTCCTTTTAAAGTCTTCTCAGATCTTGTCAAATATCTAAGTTCAGAAGAGAAACAACGGTCATTGATTTCTCACAAATGTATCATCTATTTTGTTCATACTTTATATAACAATTTGCTTTACACAGAGATTTTAGTTGGTCTCATTGGGACTGTAAAAATACTTCTTCCTCTTTCAGAATAGATTATTTCAAGTAGTAATTTAAATGAAAATCGTCATGTAGTTTTATCACGGTCAGTTTGAGCTATGCTCAATAGAAGAAATGTTCCTGTCCTTCTAAAGCAAGTGAGTTCTGTAGTGATATGCTATAACTAGCATGCTTTAAGTTAAGAACCCTTTTCAGCTGGGCATGGTGGCTCATGCCTGTAATCCCAGCACTTTTGGAGGCCGAGGCAGGCAAATCACAAGGTCAGTAGTTCAAGACAAACCTGGCCAACTTGGTGAAACCCTGTCTCTACTAAAAAAATATAAAAATTAGCCAGGTGTGGTGGTGTGCACCTGTAATCCCAGCTTCTAGGGAGGCTGAGGCAGAGAATTGCTTGAACCTGGGAGGCAGAGGTTGCAGTGAGCCAAGATTGCACCACTGCACTCCAGCCTGGGTGACAGAGCAAGACTCCATCTCAAAAAAAAAAAGAAAGAAAGAAAAGAAAAACATCCATTTTCATTCATTTACATTTACAAAATGAATACTTAATTGGAGGGTCAGTATAATTATTTATACTACTGAAGGCTTAAATTTTTTAAAAACAAGGATTCACTATGGAGTTCATTTAAAATATTATTTATTATACTGTTGAAAGTATGGCAAGACAAGTATGATGAAGTTAAGATTTTCTCAGTTGGAAAGGATCTTATGGGGCCAGCCAAATCTACATGTTTTAAGATGAGAAAGCTAAGGCCCAGACAGAAGAGTTACTTATCCAAAGATTTAATTTAGGAGACTATTCTGCCTAGAAATCTTTTCTGTGTGAAAAGTTGAGATTTATCTATATGTTTTTGTTCATAATGTTAAATTACAGTGTTATGTACATTGAAGGACAAAACTAGGTTTTGTAAAGTCTGAAGTAATTCAAGGGGTTCCTTTTGAAAAAAAAAGGACCCCAAATTACAAATATAAAATTAAGTATAAAAAATATATGTATATATTTAGAATAGAAAAAATAGTCCAGGTGTGGTGGCTCATGCCTGTAATCCCAGCACTTTGGGAGGCCAAGGCAGGAGGATTACTTGATGTCAGGAGTTCAAGACCAGCCTGGCCAACAGGGTGAAAACCCATCTCTATAAAAATATAAAAATTAGCTGGGCACAGTGGCAGGTGCCTGTAATCCCAGCTACTCAGGAGGCTGAGGCAGAGAAGTGCTTAAATCCGGGAGGTGGAGGTTGCAGTGAGCTGAGATTGTGCCACTGCACTCCAGCCTGGATGACAGAGCAGACTCTATCTCAAAACAAAAGAATTCCAGTCCTTTTCTTCTGAGTTATTTTTAGGCCACTTATCTGAAACACATATAGTAACATTTCCAAGCAGTCTGCCTTCTCTTCTCCCCACCTAGAATACTCTATGACTCCAAGCAACTTTCAGAACTCATGGCTCCATCAGCTTTAAGATAAATCTGCCTCTGCACACATCATGCACATTATTTCCCTAATGTTAAGAGTGATCAACAAAGCAAGAAGTGGTGTAATGCAGAAAATAAAGACATCTGTATTTCATTTTTATGTCATAACTAAACTCACATTTGTTCTAATGTATAATGCAACACATACACGTTAGCTAAAAATAAGTATGAAGAAAAATGATACCTTTTATTCATTGTCAGTTGTGTACCAAATTTCAGATTTTAGATGAGGAAACAAAGACTCATCAGAGTTAAGCAGCCTGTCCAAGGGGACCCAGGTATTTGCATTCTATCACCCCCACCTCCCACCAATGATTCCAAAAATGACTCTTTTCTGGGCCTAGTGCAGAAGGTTCAGAATGACAAATGAGGCCCCAGGGGTGAGCTCAGAAGCACAGAGCAGCTCCCCAAAGACACCAGACTCATATCCCTTAGCGATTTTCTATCAAAAATAACAGACCCCACAGGTGGTTGGAGGTAGAGTTTGGGTTACTACCCAACATTTTAGTTATAAATACATTGTGTAACTGCAGCCTGCTCTGT